CACGTTCTCAGAAATGATCTATAACGTTATAATATCTGTCAAGGTGAGCTTTAAAAGGATATCAGAGAAAAAATAAGCAAGAGGTATAGTGGAATTAGGAATAAAAAAGGATAAAACTATCCACTCTATAGGTGATAGAAGTTTTAACATTTCAGGAAAGTCTACAAACTCTTAAAACTAGTAATATAAATGGCATGCAAACGTCTCTGGTGTTCTTTGACATTAGGAATAATAACATAGAAAATAAATTGCAAGAAAAAATGCATTCCAAAGATGTGACAGAACTGGTTGTTGGGGCCAAAGACACCCTCAAGTTCAAATATAATTTGTAAAGTCACATTTATTAAACTTTAAATCCTTTGTCTCGTAAAACAAGACAATGACAATTCATTGGGACGATGGAGATCGTCAAAGTCAGACCCCAAGCATTTACAGAAACTCAGTCCCTTAAAGGGGATTTGGAGACAAGGCAAACTGTCACAATACCATGATTGGCACCAGATCAATACATCACAGTTGCAGGAGGGATACAGATATGGTAATGGAATTTTGATTGGGACACAAACATTATGCTAGACAGAATCATTTACAAGATTCATTCAGGGCCCCTCCAGTCTAGGCAGTCACAGTGAGATTCATAACCATGAGTCCCTAGTACCCCAATTTGCATCAAGGACCCACCCAGGCAAGTCTCTAAGGGAGAGATTGTCCTTTCCTGGCCTGGCTGTTGTTATTCTTGTCGTGGAGTTGATTACGACTCATCATGACCCTGTGTCATACACTGTCCGCACAATCCTTGTTGTGTTTAAGTTCATTATTGTAACCACAGGGTCAATCCATCTCTTGACAGTCTTCCTCTTTTTCATCGACCCTCTACTTTATCAAACATGATGTTCCCCTCCGGAAACTGATCTCCCTTGATAACGTGTCCAAAGTGTGTGAGACCAAGTCTCACCTTCCTCATTTCTAAGGAGCATTCTGGCTGTACTTCTTCCAACACAGATCTGCTTGTTCTTCTGAAATCCACTAACTTTCAGTATTCTTAATTAAGTTTGAGTCTATCAATTCTTCTGTGGTCTTCTTCCTACTTGCACATCCATATGAAAATCGCATGGCACACCTTAGTCTTCAAAGCAATATCCTCGCTCTTCATTTTAAGAGGTCTTTGGCACCAGATTTGCCCAATACAATCCATAATTTGATTCTTGACCGTGACTTCTATGAGCATTGATTATGGATCCAAGAAAAATTAAATCCTTGACAGCTTCAGTCTTTTCTCCATTTATCATGTTGCCTGTTGGTCCAGTTGTGAGGGCTTTTGTTTTCATTGTATGCATAGAGGGAGTGTTAGTTGACACCGCCACTCGGAGTGTAACTTGGCAGTGTTTAGTAAAATAAAAATTTGAAAATTCTTAAATCCAGAAATTTTGCTTCTGGGTGTTTACCTTAATTTCCTGTAACTGTGCCTAAGGAAGCACTTTGAAGGATGCCCCCTTCCTGTGTGTACTCAACAAACACTCATGCAGCACTCACTGCATTCCAGTCATGGCTCTGACTTTTTACAAAAAGACCTCAGATAACCCTCATAGGAGCCTCGGTAGTTCAGTGGGTTAAGCTTTGGGTTGCTAACCTCAAAGGTGAATCTGTGTGCTCTTAAAATGATGTACAGTCTTGGAAACCCCGTGGGAAAGTTCTATTGCGTTCTGTAGGGTCACTATGAGTTGGAGCTGACTCACTGGTAATAAACAACCCTAATAACAACTCTAGGAGATGTTGTTGTTGTTGTTAAGTGCTGTCTAGTTGGTTCCAACTCATAGTGTCCCTATGTACAACAGAACAAAACACTCAGATTGGCAGGTACTATTAATAGGCTCACTGTGTTAGTCTGGGTACATTCAGAGAAACAAATCCAAGAAACTCATGTATAAGACAGGGTTTTATATAAAGGGTAAGTGCACATCAAGAAAACATCCCAACCCAGTGCTGCCCAAGCCCACAAGGCCAACATTAACCGATATGTCCAACACCAATCCACAAAGTTGTCCTCCATCTCACAAAACACACACGATGATGCCGACTGCAGGAGGAAAGCTGAGTCAGTGAATGGGTAAGCATCTCAGTGCTTGCAGGGGTCTCCACATAGCTGCTCCAGTACCCAGGGCTGCATCAGGGTAGGTCCATGTGGCTTCTCCTCGGGGATGTCTTGCAGGAAGTGAGCCTTGCCAGCTGAAGGAGGGAGCTGGCTAAGGCAGCTGCACCCTGGTCCAACCATCAGAAAGCAAGAGACCTGAGAACTAGAAAGGCGAGACTCACCGAGCCATTTATCCCTCCACCCTGCAATTAACCCCACATGTATTTATCGGCCAGGTTGGCACAATTAACTACCTCACTCACCTTCTAGGTAATGGTAAATTTTTCTTGCATCTTCTTGTGAAAACTAAAAATAAAAAAGGCTAAGAACCTTGCTGTGGTGAGACCAATGGCTTTGTCTGGCCTTTCTAGCTATGACCTTGTAACGTTCACAAAACAATTGGGTAGAACTATGCAACCAAGATGGTTGACTCACCAAGAGGATTACACAGTTGGCTCCTAATGCAAATCAGGGCCTGGAACCTTGCAGGAGTGGACCATGAAAATAATATGAAGGTTGGTTGCATTTTCCTTACAGCTAAGGTTAAAAGGATCCAGCTTAGAAGTGGAAAATGGGGACCTGACTTCTATCCAGAAGAAATGGGAGTCGAGTGTGTTCTTGGGCCTAGAGTCTCTATGCTGGAAAGTCATAGACCCTGGAGACAAAGAGAGGTAACACCAGAGGTGGCAAGACATGGAGAGAAGCAGCAGCAAAGGCAGAAGAACAGAAGACCTGCAGGAGACGGCACACTCAGCTTCTCGGTCCCTAGATGAAAAGGACTGAGCATCTTGAGGAGAAGGCTTACTGGCAGAATGGGCGGAAGGGAATGTCTCTAAGCACTTATTGGTAGGATTAAAGACCTAGGTAACACTTGCAAACAGAGCAGGAACCTGGTTGGCACAAATTGCCCCAAGAGCCAACAGCTGAGGGCCGGAGAGAGGCTTGCTTATGATCATTACTGAAGCAGAGACTGTCTTGATTGAAGAACGGTATCCAGTCATTTCTGATCCTGAATTGTAATCCATTACTTGCCTAAAAAGTCTCGTCATTATGATTATTTCTATGATTTTTGGTGTGGCCACTACAACAGATTATTGAGCCCAGCGGAGACATAGAAAGCATGGCTGGCATCAGAGCTAGTAAAAAGGTTGGAGATAGGAGGTATGCCAGACGCCCACCTCATAGCAATCAGCTGTGGACAAGTGATGCTAGTAATCATAGCAGCTTTTTAACCACATTTTACATTATATTAGTAAAATACTGAAAACCACTCCAAACTTCATCAGTAAAGCAATGGATAAATATGGATAAATGAATGTGTTGTTTCATAGGATAAAATACCATCAGCTATTAAAAATACACATCTCTTTCTTTATATAAACTAGTTGATACCCTGTCAATTTCAGTGAGGATCACTATGTGTGGCAGAGTGGAACTGTGCTTCAAAGGGTTTTCAGTGGAGGCTTTTTCAGAAGTAAATCACCAATCTTTTCTTCTGAGATGTTTCTGTATGGATTTGAATCACTGACCTTTGGTTGGAAGTTGAGCACTTAGCCAGTTATGCCACACCAAAATTCTTTTTGTCATTTGTAATTTGTATATAAACAGACCTCAAAACATAGTAATGATGACTGAAAAATAAGATGCAGAAGTGTATTATTATGTTCCACATAACACAATTTGTGTTAAGGCATGCAACACACACATTGCTTAACCACAAGGTTGGCAGTTTGAAACCACCAACCACTCCATGGGAGAATGATGAGATCTTCTACCCCTTGGAAGCCCACAGGGAAAGTTCTACCTAGTCCTATAGGGTAGCCGTGAGTCACGATCAACGTGATAGCATTGAGTTTAGTTTCTGTGGGAGAGTGTTTCCTAGTAATTAACCTTTATGTAATTTCACTTTAAATCTCTTAACATTAGCAGACTTCTTCTATTTAGAAATAATATATGATCAGTACAGAAGAGGGGACAGTTGAGCCTCCACATACAATGATTCACTGAGCAGCACCATCTGATTTATGCATCAGCGCTTTGGAAGGGCATTCTCTATTAAAGGTAGGGAGATACAAGGGCTTGTACAAGACCTCCAACACATTACAGTTGAGAAACCAAACCTGCTGCAGATTCTAATTCATAGTGACCCTATATAGGGTTCTCAAGACTTTATGGGAGTAGACAGCCTGATTTTGTTTCCATGGAGCGACTAGTGGTTTTGAAGTGCCAACCTTGCAGTTAGAAGCCTAGCGTCGAACCCGCAGCACTTTGAGGGCTCCTTCTGGCTTGAGAAGAAGGGTGCTATATTTGGATGGTGAAAGGAAGGGAGATAGCAATTTGGGTGGACACAAGAAGACAATGTTGATTAGAAAAACATATCCGCTGCGATGGGAAATGCTTCTTGATTCAGTTCGGAGGCTTTGCTAGCGATATCAATAAAACCGAAAAACCCAACTCATTGCCACGGGGTCGATTCCTCCTCCCAGCACCCCCAAACCGGAAGCACGATGTCCCCGGGGCCCCTAGCAACATCAGTAGGTACAATGAAAGTTGTCGCTGTTTCAGGCTAGCCATTTGCCTCTGTGGTATTGCTCTCACGTTTCCCTTGAATAACTTCCCAATCTACTGCTCCTTCCATCCCTCCGCAGGCCCCACTGATGTCTGATAAACGTCCTACATCTGATATTAACCTGAAACTCCCGAATTCCTGAAAGCGAGTTATTTATTAACAGAACCCAAACTACCAGTGCTTGGGCAAATCTTCTAACTCTTTCAAATGACTGATCAGCTCAGAGAAGCGTCTGCAAATCGACAAGTACATGAAATAATTGAAACTGTGTGCCAATTGTTCGCTCTGATCCGAAGTTTGGGAGCGGAAGTTAGTCATTGACTGCAGGGCCCACGGGTGAGAGTGAGTCCGCGGTGAGGGAGTCAAGTGTACCGCTGGCCCGGCAAGCCGCGCAGGAGGCAGCAGCCGGCAGACCTGAGAGCCGCAGGGCTGTCTGAGAGCTTGGCCCCGGATTGCGTGGAATTGCTCTCAAGCCTGAGCATTTCACCTTCTATCCCCCCTGATGGCCAGAACTTCCTGGGCTGAGAGGTATGGCTGCCTTCTTTCCTATCTTTCTGTTCTGCAGAGACAACAGCTAAGTAAAGTCAGTGTGATGTAGTGATGTAGAGAGTGGGTTGGAGAAATGGGGGCAGAGCAGCTTTCAGGGACCAGCTGATTATGCAGATTAAGCGCATTTGAGAGTTGTGTAGCTGGCCACCCATGCATGCATGTCAGTTATTAGAGTAAGTACGTTATTGGAACATGTCTCTAGGTCTCAAGGGCAAGAAAGCCATGCTTTATATATTCTCGTTAGTGCATATTTTGTTAGACTCCCTAAGTCTAGATCCCATGTCTCTTCTAGATGTTTGTTTTTCTCAGGAAACATCTTGCAGCAGGTAAAAAAAAACTGACTCTTCCTGGGATTTTCTAAGAAAATTAAATGGCATTGTTATTGTTAATGTGTTGTACTGACTGTGTTGTTATTTTTGTAGAAAAGAATTTTCTTTTGATACCTCAGATATTTTACAAATTGACTCTAACTGCATTTTTGCTCTTTGGGGCTTATATTTAAATCGCTATAATAATCAACCACAGGACTTTATGAAATTTATAAATTTCCATTTTAAAAACAGAAAAAAAAACCTTGCAGGCATTTAAATTTGGACTTTCTTTGTTTAATATCTGAAATTGAAATCTAAATTAAGATACATATGAGCTTTCTTTGTACTTTGAAAGTTTGAATTTGCGTTCTGCAAAAATCAAACACAGATTTGAATCTGGATTTAAAAAACAAGAAGAAGATTTACTTTATTCCAGAGCAAAGGTGACCTGCTACGTAAAGATTTGTAGGTGAACCAGTATATAGAAGTGCATTCAAAAATCTGGGTGATCAATCACGAGATTTTAGGTTTCAGAAAGTTTATTAGACTTGACCATATGTTTCAGTCCCTATCTATTTCTGTTTCAATATGTATTCAAAATGAAATCATTTGGGTTTATTTGGTTTTTTGGAGCTCTTGATTAAGTAGGCCACCAAACTGATTTGGGTTGGTTTGTGAGAGTCAACTTGCTACAAATTAATTGTGTTCTAGCAAAAAGACTGGACCGAGGGCTGAGTCTGTCAGCATCCTTTGGAATAGCCCCGTCTCCGAAGCTTTCAGTGGAGGCGAGATGTGGCAACGGTGTCACAGGCAGAGGAAACTGAGAGGCAGCCAGGGAACAATAGACATCTTGTGGGAAAGGCTGAAATGTATGCGGCCAATTCCCATGGGAATGCCTGTAGGCCTTTCACACTGTGTGTGAAAAGATGCTCCTTCAAAAGATTCTTTAATCCTTTCTTTCAAGGGGAAAAAATCTATCTGAGAACTTTATTGAAAGTTTCTTGACCCCAAATGAGTCTCAGTCTATGGGCATGTCATAATACAGGTGAACAAAATGATTTTGGTTGTTGTTGCAGACTAGTTTTGAAAGCTTAATGTAAATAAATATTGCTGTTCTGTAATTTTCTAAAGCCAGGAAGGCAGGCCACATTCCACCCTGAGTCGGAAGCTAGGAGGTGAATTACTTGCAAGAACTTGACTTCTGAGTTAATTATCTTCCCCTTTCCCCAAAGTTTCCATTTTTCTACAAGTGGAATCCCAATGGTAGGATGTCTGGTTCATGTGGATTTTCCCTCACAGATGTGCAACACTCAGACACACCCGGTCAACGAATATGTTTTATTATGGTCCGATAAGTAGTAATCACCTTGGAAAGTCCTAAAGACGGGGCCCTGGGGGGAAATGATATACTCCAGCCTTGCTACCAAATGGGGAGAGCTACGCTAGCATGCTCAAAGCCAAGGCTTTGGATGACCCAGCCACACCAAGTCTGAGCTGCATTGTCTTCCAGTCCATTGTATTTCTTCACTGCTATTGTTCAGTCTTGTTCTTGTGTAGGCTGGGACCACAGCCAGGCTCTCTCTCCAGAGAATTAGATCAGGTTGTCAAAAACCAAAAGGGATCAAATAAAAATCGTGAGTGGAGGAGTGTTCATTAATCCATCCAAATTTGCACTGCAGGTAATTGCATAACTGATATCTGAACCCAGTTACGTCCAGGTTCCTCCCTTCCCTCCGCTCTGCTCTTCTTATTGGACTCGTGAAGAGTGCCCAGTTCTGGTCCCACACCAACTTGATGGCATTCATCAACAACAATATTCTTTCCTTTTCAAAATAGATAAAAACAAGGGTTAAGAACCACACACAACGAACAGAGGATGGAGGTGAGGGAAGGCTAGAGAAAAACAAGCTATTTCATTAAAAGGGGAGACTCAAATGGCAACTGAGCACAGGAAATTTACTAATGGTAGAACATGCTGACAGTGGTTAGTGTTTCTAGGTAAGGTAAGCAGTTAGAACGCCTCAGGGACTAACCAAAATATTGGGGGTTTGAGTCTGCCCAAAGGTACCTTGGACCAAAGATCTGGTGATTTACTTCTGAAGCATTATTCATTGAAAACCCCTAAGAGCAAGCATAGTTCTACTGGTATCCATGTACACAGGATTCACCATTGTTAGGAAGGATATCTGGTTGTCCACAGGATAGCATTTAAAATTTGCTAATGATTGCACAATGTCTAGGAAGATCCCTGGTTATATAACACTCACAGTGTCCACATCTGAATGATTATACAGATGAATTTATCTGCCACACAACTGTGCATGCTTTATCAGTAGACAGATAGATGTACCGCCCAAACCAAAGCCAAACCCAATGCTGCCGGGTCCACTCCAATACACAGGCAGCCTATAGGACACAGAGAGCCGCCCCCATAAAAGTTCCAAGACTGTAAACCTGTATACATTTTCCTCCACACCACATCTCTACCACAATGAGAGGCGGGTGAGTTTGACTATCAGTCTTTGGGTTAGCAGCCAAGCCCTTCATCATGTACTGCCAGGGCACCAGCCCTACTGTCAACACACTCACTGCCACTGAGTCGATACCAACTCAAAGTGACCCTGTGGAACAGGGGAGAACTTACCCTGTGGGTTTCTGAAACTGTAACTCTTTAAGGGAGTAGAAAGTCCCATCTCTCTTCCTCAGAGCAGCCGATGGTTTTAAACGGCTGCCTTCGAAGCTAGCAGTCCAACCAGCAACCTCTCTGCCAGTACGAAAGTAAAATAAAGAGATTTATCGAAAGTCCAGAGACGGCCCAGACCAGAAAGAAGGCGGCGAGTCTGCGGGGCGAGAAAGAAGCCGGCGGGCACTAAAGCTGTCCCAGCACGGCTGACTGGGACCATCAGAGGAGTTGAAGGTGGGATATTGGAGAGTGGAGATTTGAGGAGGATGGTGCAGAGAACTGCTGAAAAACATCTCCTAGACGTTATCAACTGGAGGGCAGAGTTTGGGTGGGAGGGGGATGAGGTAGGTGAACGGTACATGATTGTAAACGTGCTCTTCGGTGAATTACAGGACGATCACAGAACTGGGACAGGACAGATTCTCTGGGACTTGTTAGAATGGCTTTCTCAGGGATATTGCCCCTTGTAGGACCATGGCATGGCAGATTGATATGTCAAGACCCTTTGGGTGCAGGTTATCATGTTGACATGGCATCTTTGAGCATCAAAGACAGACCTCTGGGAATAGACGGTGACATCCTGCATCTCCAGAAACATGTTTCCTTCAGGGCGCGTGGTTAGATCGGCACAAAGGTTAGAGAAGCTCCTGACAGAAAAGGCAGCTTTAAAGTCCAACGTGAACTCTGGGCTCATGTGGAGAGCGCAGCGAGGCTGCGTTTTCAGGCTGATCTGGTTACATCCTCTAAGAGCTTCTGATCTGAGTCCCAACAAGCCCCAACCCAAACCCACTGCCACAGGTCCATTCTGACTCAGTGACCCGATAGGACAGGGTGGAGCTGCCTCTGTGAGTTTACAGGAGTAGAAAAGCCTTGCCTTTCTTCCCTCAGAGCAGCTGGTGGTTTCAAACCACTGACCTTACACTTAGCAGCCCAGCCCATAACTACTACACCACCTGGGCTCCTGGAGCCTCAACATAATTTTTTAAAAAATTATTTAAACAAGGGGAAGTCCTAGTGCCTTCCCTCTCCAGTGGGAAGAGATTACTAGGGTTAACGTGTTTTTCTGAGCATTGCTACAACATTTAAAGGGAAAGTCTGGCATATCTTGTTCAAGTGGAGCTTTATGGAAACTCTCCCAGACAATGCAGTAGCAAGAGAGAGCCAGAGACTGAAGGGGCGGGGAGAATAAGAATATGCATTTTTGATTGGGTAACTTCCATTTTTACATTTGTTTTAAATCAGTCCCTGCGTCCTTTGACTGTCAAGGATATTAATCACAGTGAAAGAGTGACTTCTTTCAGACTATGGCTGGACAAGCGTCCAGTCTTTCAAACTGTGCCTGTGACATCCATCCGAGGACGGCGGGAACTGGGAACTGAAGGGCAGTTCCCGCCCCCTGGGGCTTGGGGATATGGCTCTAAAGCAACATTCCATTCACCTGTTGGCATTCCTGATGCACTGGTGTTCCAGCCGGGCGTCTTTCTTTTCCAGTCTCCCAGAGAAAGTATAGATTTTCATGAACACTGGGAGTTTTGTTTTCTCTGTTCAAAACAACTCTATTTTTTTTTTTTTTTTACTGGAGCAGGCTTTAGGTTACAGGCCAGGAAACAAGAGCGCTTCACTGAGAGTAACTCCACTGGGTGAGCTGCGGCCGATCCATCACCTGACCTCTCTGGGGCTTGGGGGGGGCGGGGGCAGGCAGCTGCCCGCATTCCTTGAATTCTTCCACCGGCCACTGCAAGGAACAACTTCAGGTTCACTGAGCTGAGCGGACTTCCCTGCTGTGTGCTGTGTTCCCGGCGTCCCGGCCCCTGCCTCTCCCTCCCAGTCTTAAGCCCAGAGCTGAGTCACACCAAGTGCGCCCTTGAGGAGTAGCTCTGCAGGTAAACCGAGTTCCCAGGGGGGCAGCTGTGACTCCCTGGCCTGTGTCCCTCTTGATGTTGAATTGTCGTGTTTTGCATTTGGGGGTGTCTGTGTCTTCTGACAGACTGATCAAAACCAGCCCCACCCCCAACCCCCTTTAACTGAATACTGAGGTGGTGGGCCTCAAATTAGGGTCTCTTAAAGGTTAGAAACCAGACATCTTGGGGGCATCACAGTTCCAGGTTAGGCTGCTAACCTCAATGTCAGCAGTTCGGAAACCACCAGCCCTTCTAAGGGAGAACGAGAAGGCTTTCCACTCCTGTACAGAGTTACAGGACACCCACAGGAGCAGTTTTACCCTGCCCTAGAGAGTCACTATGGACTGGCATCAAATCCATGCCGGTGCATTTGGGGAGGCACGATTAGGTAAAGAAATGTTGAGGGTAAAGACTGAGGATAAGGCAGAATTGTATAAGGCAGTCTGGGTTTTGGTTTGGTCTGGTGTTTGTAATGCACACCGTGTGAGGGTTGAGGCCTGACCGGTCTGGATCTGAATCGTGGTCTTATGTGTAACCTCAGGCCTGGCAGCGAACCTCACCCATCCTGTCTCTTCGCCCGTAACCCTGTCTCAGGGTGGATGGAAGAACTGAGAGAAGCAAAGTGTCCAAGAGAGCACAGAAAGGATTTGAATGGGAGCGCACGTGTGTCACTGTGTTTCTCAGATGAAGCAGCTCTTGATCTGGCTCTGACCCTCTCTACCATTGTCAAAACCTGAAACGGAGCAAAACATTGACCAGAGCCGCTGAGAAATAAGTAACAGCTCCTTGAGCCTCTTAATCCAGGCTAGTTTAAAGCCACCATGTGGGCGCTCTGGGCAGGAGAAAGCTATGTAGTCAGCATCACGGGCAGGGCCATGTGCACAGCGACAAAGAACCCAGAGAGGGCTTTTCTGAGACTCACTGCCTGCCATCCGACGCTGCCCCTTCCCCTCGGGGCCCTGAGCTGTGTCTCACCATATGGAGTTGGTGGGAGAGTTTCTTGGGTCCACACCTGGGAAGCACGGCCCGCTGACCATCAGCTGTTAGCATTAGCGTCATTACTTGACAAAACTCTCTCGTGCACTCCTTCATCTCCGATGTCGAAAACCACTCACTGAGCGCGCATTCATTCGCCTCCTTGGAGAAACCGAGGCTCGGGGAAGGGAAGGGCTCAGACCAAAGGTCCACATCCGCTGAGCGGCTGAGCTGGGACATGCATCTCGATGCCTAGACGGGCCGCTGGTCCGTGGCTCTTTGCTGTGCAGCTCTGAGTCCACAAGCTCGATCCTTGAAGGGGTGAGGCCCGCCCGCAGGTGGAGGTGACCTCCCTGCATCAAAGGGGTCCTTGGGAGACCAAGTCACCCAGGCCTGTCACAAGCCACAAGAACACCTGCGTCCCAGAGCTTTGCGGCAGCAGCTGCCTCGAGGAGCGCTCTCTCGTGGGCTGTTGCAGTGTTCCTGCCAGGCTGTCTCTCTCCGGTGGTCACTGTGCGCACGGAGACCTTGTTGAAGCGCTCAAGGACTTGTCCCAGGATGTAGTCCCCTTCTGATTTACATTTTACGTAATAAATAAATACATTAATTAAAAATCTGGAGGTAGCATATGGGTGGGGTTTGTTTTCTGAACCCAAAAGTAATGACTGCACCCCCGATGAAGGAGGGAAATATAAGAAATAGAAAACATGGAATATGGAACATGGGGCAGGAAAGAAAAGTCGCCCACAACACTGCATAATCATTTGATATTGTGGTGTGTCTTTTTTTCAAAACGTTTCCCTGAACTGTTTTCTATTTTGCCTTTCCTTTTCTTTCTTGTTTTAGTGACTGTGTGAGTAGCTTCCCATATCAATATATTCCCTTCTAAACTGCGATTGCTAGTATCTGCACAGTGTCCTTTTCTGTGGGTGTACTTTCATTTAGTAATTAATTGACAGCTTGTTTTCCTGCTATCAATAATGTTGTGATTTGGGGCCACAATATATTAATGAGGTGAAGTTTATGTTTATAGCCCTGATTCTCTCATTAGATTAAATTCCTCTAAGTGCAATTACCAGACCAAAGATTATAAATATCCCTGAGGCTTTTCAAAGTAGAGGGATTTTCTCATCAGAAATCGATGCATGTGTTGTACACATTGGAAGTGCATTAGAAAAACAGGGGGGAGATAGCAAAAGGCAAGCATGGGGTCGCAAAGCATGGGATGCCATGACCCAGGTGTTCCACATTGTTAGTAGATCCTCCGCAAAGTGAATGAGGCCTGCAAAGCTCTTGTTGCTGGTTGCCATAGAGACATCTTCATTGGGTGCATGGTGGTCACGTGTGTAGCAGTGAAACATTGCCAGGTCCCTCTCCCTCTCCGTGGTCATCAGTAGGCCATCGTGCATCCAACGAGTCCATTGTTGCAGGCACTGTGTATTTTGAGCACCTTTCAACCTACAGATTGCACACGGTCTGTGCACAATGGGTGCCCTTGCCGGTATTTGAAATACCACTGACAGCACTTCCAGCATCATAGTAACATATAAATCCTCAGAGTATGACAAAATGATGGGCGATGGGTAAAAATCTTACCCAATACAAAAGGTCTGGATCAAATGCCATTTCCTCCAGAGAAGCAGCACCACGCATCTTCACCAAGGGAATTTCTCTCTTTTCCCTTTTCTCTTCTTCCTTCTCTTCCCTCTCTCTTCTCCTCCTCTCCCACCTCGTCCATCTTTCTCTTCTTCTCTCTCTCTTTCTAAGACTTCACTTTATAGTACCCACGGGACTTTTCTCCAAGTTGTCTGTATAGAATATCTGATACAAGTTCTTATCTCTCCACTCTACCCCTGGATTTGTGAATGTTTTGGGTGTGTGTTGAAGAACTCGGTATTTCTGCTTAGGGACCAAAGACTTATTTTGCACTTGAGAGACACTCAAGATTAACCACTGAAGTTTAGGCAGGAATGTAGGGCTCCCCTCTCCCCCCAACCACTCCATGGGAGAAAGAGGAGGCAGTCTGCTTCCATAAAGACTCCAGCATTGTGTACTCTCTGGGGCAGTTCTGCTCTGTCCTATAGGGCTGCTATGTATAGGAATCAATTAAATGGCAGTGGGTTTGGTTTTAGTTTGGGTTAAGAGATCATGTAGTAGAGGAAGCATCTACCTTGGCATTTTAGCATTGTTTGCAGCACAGAGCTGTTCCTACAGGGATAGGATCAGCGAAGGCTGAGACCACTGGAGGGAAGCAGCAGCTTCCCTTCTCAGTTTTCTTGCTTCCTGGTGAAAATCTGGGCAGCATTACTCATATTAAGTCAAGCATGGTCACTCTCTGAGACCATGGCTACACTTGTAAGTGACCTGCATGTCTGAGGTGACTACACTGGACTTAAACTGTGAGCTACCCACTGGCCTGAAACAAGGAGACCAGCCACGACCCTACCTACCATGGGGTCATGGAGAGGTCACTAAATTTCCTGGCTTCTGTCTGCTCACCTCTGAATCAACTCACCTGAGAATAGACAGATATTTCTTTGTGGCCATTACTCCACTTCCTGTGGACCAAATCATGGAGGGTCTGAGCATGACCAATATGGTCAGTGTCACATCACACTGGGTACTGTCGCTGAATAATGCAATTGGTTTGACCTATGAGTAAGACAGGAGCTCTGGGCACAATGGTAAAGTCCTTGGCTGCTAACTGACAGTGGGCAGTTTGAAAGCACCAGCCACTCAGCTCGAGAAAGCTGTGGCCGTCAGCTTCTGTCAGAGATGGATCGCCTCCATAGGAGTCCCTGGGGGGCAGTCCTACTCTCTCCCCTAGCACCTCTAGGAGTTGGAGTTGTCTTAACGACAGTGGGATGGGGGTTCGTTTCATGCGTGAAAAATACAATGGGACTTTATTGAGTCAACTGTGGGATCAGAGACAGGATTGCCTGACCCCAAAGTTCCTCCTTTTCACTCCACCTTGGAATCCTTTCATGTCAAAGTTGTGTCCTAGTTTACGTTGGCATTCAAGTTCAGTGAAGATTTATCCAGCTCCAAACTCCTAATTCGGAACCTTCTATTCCATTAGTTAGAAAGCATATTAAAATAGAACAAGTAGTGAGATCACCTTCTAGCCTTAGGGTGGGGAAGCTTCTATTGCCCTTGTAGCAACCAAGAAAGTAAACTCTGGTTTCTATGTCCAGGCCCTAGAAGGTGGCAAGTCTAAAAGATGTTCCTAGGCTCTCTCTTTTCTTTCACTCCCCCATTAGGCTTGATTTTCATGGGAATCTGTCATCTGGCAAGTGTTGGGCATATGCTTGTTGCTTGTCCTCTTGTTTCCTTGTGCCATGGAGAGATGTAGAAGGATGTAGAAAATAAGTGTGAAATTTATGCTGCTTTTTGAAGTTCAAGTTAAATTCCATAGGGATTTAATCATTTCAGACAGGAGCTTTTGAGACAAAATAAGGAAGGGGCTCATTTGAAGACCATCAAGCCAAGATCTGTTACTCAACACACATGTTTCCAAGTGTTCTTTTCCCCTCACTACTGGGCACCAAGCTGACATCCTGATTCTGCGCTCATGCCAGCCTGCTAATGGCAATATTGTGTCATTTGTTTCCCTTGCAGAGAGTGTTAAGGAAGACTTCAAAGCCTGGGAGGGAAATGACCTTTCATGGAATACCTCCTGCTACGTGTTTTTGCTGAGCTCCAGTAACGGACACACATGGCCCTGGGTCTGCAGAAAGTCAACTAATCATCAGACTCCTCATCATGCATCAACTATTCAGACTAGTTTTGGGGCAAAAAGATCTTTCACGAGCTGGGGACCTCTTCTCCTTAGATGATGCTGAGATTGAAGACAGCCTGACAGAAGCTTTGGAGCTAATTAAAATAATCAGCTCATCTTCAGTAAGTAAAATGGTTTTAGACTGGCTCCCTGCAACGATCTATCATAGAGCCAATTGGTTGCCTATGTCCCGGAAGGAAAGATCTGTGCAGGGAGAAAGGGGGGAACTGGTAAGATATCTCCCTCTCTGCACTTGGCTCTGTGGTTTAAGTCGGTGTCCAGGTGATAACACCAAGGAGACCATTGACTTAGCTGGCAGCCCGGTTTCGGTGTACCCACTGAAGTGGGGGCTAAAACTCTGGGACTTGCAGATCTGAGTGGACTCCATAAAGCGGGCTAACCTAGGCCCTCTTTCCATATATTTAAAATGAAGCTGAGAGAAGAAGGTGCAGATTAAGGCACCAACATGCCCCGCCACACTACAGCATCCGTAACACAGGTGGATGTGCAGCGACGGCTGAATAATGCAAGAAGCCAGATAATGCCTCCTGCCATGGAGGTAATATTAGAACAGGACAGTGAACGCTCTACTGCCTGAAGTGATCGCTGCCCAGGGCTTGGAAATGCCAAGTCTGCTTCTCTAGCTTCTCTGATTTTTATCTTCCCTTTGCTCCATTTTCCACATATGCATCTACATCCATTTAATTCAATCCCTGCCTCCTAAGCCCACAGACCTTGATCAGATAGACTGAAAGCCTTTAGCTACCCTCCCATTCCTTTGCTCCTTCTCAATGTCAAGCCTGTTCGCAATTCTGAAACTATTTCCTGAAGGAGGTGACAGTACCCAGCATGATGTGACAGTGACCATTTTGGTCATGCTTGGACCTCCCCAAGGAGACTGGTCCCTCTTCAAAGGCCACCAATCCTCCTCTCGTGTCCTTCCAACTCAACAGAACTTGCCAGAGTTTGGCACAGAGACTCTCTGGGCAGGGGGATGTGGTGGGACGAAAGCCCTAAAACACGGAATTAGCAAAGGGTACACATTTCAGCGATAAATCTCCCTTCCATGTTCTAACCAAGAGATGTTTCAAAGCCACATTGGCAGCCAGGGCAACTTCCTCCTCCAGCCTGTCAGCATGGCTTCTCGTTGGCTGCCAGGGACACGGCAAAGTCCCCAGTGACCATGAAGTCACTGCCCAAACACTCTTCTTTTCCCCAGTAATGCCATTGGCAGCTATTCTGTTTCCACCTTTGTTTCTCCAGAGCGTTCATCAGCTTACTACTGCTGTTGATAGGCTCCCCTCAGTCCGCTCCAACTCAGGGCAATGCTGGGTTCAACAGGGTGAACCGCCGCCTGGTCCCCCATTCGCCTCCCACAATTGTAGCCCCTGTGTCGATCCATCTCGTTGACAGTCTACCTCTTTTCAGGCCCTCTAATTTACCAAGCGAAATGTCCTTCCCTAAGGACCGAATTCTCCTAATCACATGTCAAAGAATGTGAGCCAAAGTCAAAGTCTTGGAGATGAAATCTCACCACCTCGTAGTCTGACTTGAAACACAACGTGCTCCTGAGACGTTTGCACGTCCTGGATAGGGCTGCTTCGAGCAGTCACATGCCTCTAGAATGTACCACTGGTTGTCTTCTCCCGGGCAGAATAAGAGAGAAGACCTGGTGGCACCGTGGCTAAGGTACGACGGTGCTAACTGAAGGTCCGTCGTCATTGCAAAGCCTTGGAAACACCAAGGGACAGTTGCCTTCCGCCCTCTAGGGGTCATGATGAGTCAGAATCCACCCAGTGGCAGAGTACACTTTGCTTTTTCAAGAGCATCAACAATTACTTCTTAAATTCCCTGAAGTCTCCTTCCACTAGAGGTCACTGGTGGTCAGGGATTTCTTCTGTTTCCCTTGTCAATTACCCGGACTCACAAACGTCAAATTCAGTTTCACCATCACGGAGATGTTGCTCATTTCCTACACCTTCGGTTCCTAAAAGGACTCATCGGTTCTGTTGTTTGTTAACAATTAAGACAGTTAATTGCCATCAGGAGCAAAGTCCGTCCTCTAGCCCTCGGCGGCGCACCAAGCCAGCAGAGCTGAGAGCCCGGAGTTCACCTGCCTTCTTCAGTGACGGACTCTGTCCTGGCTTTTTGTTCCCTTGTTTCCTGGTCTGTTACCTCAGCAAGGAGCCCTGCTGGCCAGTGATTACAAGCTGAGCTGCCATCCACCAGGTCAGCGGTTTGAAACCACTAGTAGCTCCTCAGGAGCAAGATGGAGCTTTCTACTCCTGTAAACAGTTATTGGTCTTGGAAACTCACGGGGGCAGTTCTATCCTGTCCTAGAAGGTCACTATGCATTGGCAGTGAGTGAGTGAGTGAGTGAGTGAGTGAGTGAGTGAGTGAGTGAGTGAGTGAACTTGATGTGGAACTTAGCGTGGGACAGGTGCAACGTACGGTGAAGCCTGTAGGAACCAGAACTCATTAGGACTGTTATCCTAGCCTGGCAAGTTCTCTGCCTCTGACGGAGGGCGGGCTCACCCTGTTTTATTCTCCTTTTACTATAAAATATTTGTGTTTCCTCTATGACAGGTTTCTGCCTTCCACAGGTTCTTGTTTTCACCGGCTTTACTGCCAAGAGAACATTTTCTTTAGAGAATGTGTACCAACAAAACCAGCTTTTCAATGCAGAGATTTTCCGATCGATCCTTATTGTCCATATATCCACATCTGGGACTCCTTTCTCGGTCTCTTTAAAAGCCAGCTCAAGTTCCTCTAATTCTTAGATGATTTCTAATGGCTGGAGTTCGTAGGGATTATTTCCTGCTAGAAAGATATAACAACCCTTCCGTGTGGTCCTCTGACCTTACAGAGCAGTCATCTGCTCGTTGAGTCTCAAAAGCGCCTTCTCCGCCGTAAGGAACATGAAGGCAAGCAAGGCAACCAAAACGCAACCTGTTGTCAGTCCAGTCAACCCCAACTCAAGTCTCTGTCTTTGGAAATGCTTTAGTTCCAGGTTGAAAGGCTGTACTAGGACCATAGCCTTGAGGTTCCTCAGTCAGTGTCAGACGTTTAGTCTTGTCAGTGAATCTGATGTCCTGTCCTGCATTTTCCTCCCTCTCTGTCTGGGACACGCTATTATAACTGCAGTTAGAGCAGTCAGAGGTGATGGCCAGGCACCATCTAATTCTGGTTTTAAGGCTTGGTTGGCTGTGGTCTATGTGCTTCTGGACAAATGAGTCTTTTCTTCTCTCCGCTTTGTTGTAGATAGTAAGATTCCAGTAGTTGTATCTGCAATGGCCGTTCAAGAGCTTTGAAGACCCCAATCACTGCTCACTAAAGTCAGAAGCAGAATATTGTCTTTATGAACTATGTTGTGGCCATTGAGGTCGCTGTCCCTCAACTGTACAGGTTATTGTCTGCATACTTCAGAACTTCATCCTGTGAGGTGTTTGGTTATGTACGAGAAGTTTATATGGCTGTGCCCTTGTGTGCTCTGTGGCCTACCTCAATGTACATGCAGCCTCTCAATTATTTAGAAACACCCACAACCAAAGCTCCTCTGCAGGAGTGTGTGCTCCCCTCCCCTCTTCCCCAGCTTTTTGTTTGTTTGTTTTAGCATGCCTGTCTACCTACATATCAAGTCATAAATTAGTGTTTGTTGATCCGATTGTTGCAGGCTTTTCTCTGTCAGGGTCATTGCCATACAAAAATTAAAAATCAGAAAATCTCACTGCCATCTGGTCCATTCCTCCTCCAAGAGACCCTCCAGGCAGAGCAGTCCTCTGTCCAGGATTAGAGAGTCTCCTCTTTGTCCTGTAGAACAAATGGTGCTTCCTGAAATGCCAGCCTTCCCATTGGAAGCACGATGTGTAGCCGTCTAGGCCACCGGGGCTCCCTAGGAATTGCCCTTGCTTCTCGTGTGCCTCTCACTGTATTCCTTCATCTTCATCATGTTTTGCTGACTTCTCCCAAGTTGTTTAGTGCTTTTCACCGTGGTTAGCAGGTGTCTTCTACCTAGCCACTAATTCTCCCTTTCTGTCTCAGGTCACCATCAAAGGGTTTTCCTCCATGGATTTGTAGTTTTCTTTCTCTTATGTGGATAATCGTGGTCTCGCACAATATTCATCCTTTAGTGATGGACTTCTTTCTCTGTCCTCCAGGTCCAACCTTTGGGTTGCTCTGTGGATTCCTTGCTATTCCTTATAACAAATTGTATGGCATTCCATTGTATGGACCTCAGCTTGATTAGCCATTGATGTCTGGTTGGGCAAATGGATCATTTCTAACATTTTGCTCTTCTGAAAATTGCTGCAAGGAATATGGGTATGCATATGACTATTCATGTGATAGTTCTTAACTTTTTAAAGATCTCTATCTAGGAGTGGGATTGCTGGCTCATATGATAGTTCTATTTCTAGCTTTCTAAAGAAACACTTTACCATGTTCCAAAATGGTTGTGGAAAATACATTTTGAATTCTTACCAGCAGTAGAGAGGCATTCCAATCTCCCATACCCTTGCCAACATGTGTTTATTTTAGGTTTGTTTTCATTTGGTGCCTTTATTGTCCAGGTGAGATGGTATTTCCGCAAGGGTGACTTATCAGGGTGATGATGCCCTGAAGACATAGCCCATTGGTTCCTGCACCTCAGACACCACAGCTGCCTTAGTCCCTGCACACCCAAGGCAAGATCTCTTAGCATCTATACAATACTTCAGCCCTTCACGTATGTATTTTAAATACTTCTTGTCTTTATTTGTATCATATTATGACTTTGCCTAAAGTTACCCGGCTTTTCCTGTTGCTGGTCACCAGGGAATGCTAACTGAGGAAGAGGCAGCTGTTCAAATTGTTAGCGCGTTCCTCCTTGTGCTCAAATGCAATCTTATTCTTTATATTTGCTACCCTCCATTCTTCGTTCTGGTCCCACCCAGGCAAGCAAGAGTCTAACCCTTTTCCCAATGAGAAGAACATCCAACCCTGGGTGGCAGGCACCAGTTTTCAACTTTGCTCGCTATTTTCCTAGTAGAAGAACCCCAGTTCCCCTCCCCCTTTTTTCATGACGAAAAAAATGTCTATGGCAGGGGACAGTTACACTCTCTCCCATTTCAACCCTCGACTCTCA